TTTACATCTTAGGTGTTCTGCATTGTTCTCCTGAGATCATTGAGCATATTTACACTGGTTTTTAAAATTCTATCAGGTAATTCCTATACCTGTGTTTCTTTAGGGTCGTTTTCTGTAGCTTTATTTTGTTCCTTTGTTTGAATTGTGTTTCCTTGTTTCTTCATTTTCCTTGACTCTTTCTATTGGTATCTACACATTAGAAAAAACCCCCACCTGTCCCATTCGTCATGGATTGGCCTCATCTGGAGAAGACCCTTCACCAGTCAGAGCTTCTGTGAGCCTCTCAAACCATCGTGCTAGTCCAAACCACTGTTTTTGTTCTTAGTGGCCCCCAGGCGTGTAGAGTATGCCAGGTCCCATCAGCACCCCAAGGCAAGCACCAATCCCTCAAGTAGCTCCAGGAGAAATTAGAATGTTGCATGTGTCATCCAGCTCTTTCCCTCCCAAGGAGAAGGTGGGAGCTGGTGGTTTTTGCCTGCTCGCTCTGCTGTGGGCTGGCGGGTGGAGCTATGGCAAGTGTTTGCGTGAAAGTTCAAATCACCTTCTTTGTTCTCAGTGGCCCCCAAGTGTCTAGAATATGCCAGGTCCCATCAGCACTCCAATACAGAAGCCAGTCCCTCGGTCAATCCCTGGAAAAGTTGGAACATTTGATGCAAAGTCCACTCTTTCCCTCCCTTGGAAGAAGCTAGGAGCTGGAGTTTTGCTCCTACTTGCTCTGCATTAAACTGGGGGAGGAGCTGTGGTGAGTGTCCACGTGCTACTTCAAACCAGTGCCTTTGCTCTCTGTAGCCCCCAGGGGCATACCATATGCCAGGTCCAGTCTACGTTCTGAGACAGGTGAGACAAGCCTGTCTTTGGGGTGGCTTGCGGAGAAGAACACTGGATGTGCAGTCTAACTCTTTCTGTCCTCAGGGAGAAGCTGGAAGCTGGAGGTTTCCTCCCAGTCCAATGACATTATGCCAGACGTGAGGGTTATGGTGAGAGGGTGTCTCTAGTTTTCCTACCAGTTTTGATGTGGCTGGTTTCACACTTGCCCAGAAAGCAGGAGCCTCTCAGCTGGTTTCTAGATTTCTCACAAAGGGAATTGATCCATGTATTGCTGTTGAATTGATGTGTGTGTGGGTGGAAGGAGAGTCTAGAGCTTCCTATTCTACCATCCTGCTGATGTTAATGGAAATACTATTAATTTTTGTAAGTTGGTCTTGTATCCAACAACTTTACTGAACTTAAAGTTTTTTATTCTCTTGGTTTTTCTAGTTAGATCATCATATTATCTATATGTTATTAGAATTATCTCTTTCCTTCCAGTTCTTATACTTGTTATTTCCTTGTTTATAATGGTAGCTAGGACTGTCTCAGTTGGTAACAGTGGTAGTGGGCATCCATTTCTTTTTTCCCCTTGTTATAGGGAGCATATCTAAAGTTTCTTCATTTACATATAATATTTGCCAAAGTTATGATAAATTTTACCAAGTTACATATGTTACCTTGCTATGCTAGTTTGCTAAGAGTTACTGTAAATAGATGTTGCCCACATCATACAACTTTTCTGAATCTGTCAGGATAATCATGGCAGTTTGTGGTCTTATTTCACAACAGTTGTACCCTCTGGTGTGTGGCCATTTTGCCCTGTTAGTTCATGTTCCCGTGAAGATATCAACCACTTTGTCTGACAGTGTACCTGGGGAAGGGCTGAGAGCCAGACCCTAGTCTCTGTCTCTCCAGGTGGATTTAAGGAATGAGAGGAGATGAGCTCAGGCATAACAAGCCCTAAGACCTACAGGTTCACTGCTGATAAACTTTATTTGCTACTGCTCCACCTGGCAACTCTTCTCATCAGAGTTTCATCTTTCAGCATCATCCACAGGAAGAGTAGATGCAGCAGCACCACAGGAAGAGTCCGCCTCCCTTTTTTGTATTCTCCCAGTTCTGGGGGTTTTCATAGTTAAGGAGGTAGAGGAGCAGACGCCTGAGAGTGGATGGTCAGCCATATTCCTTTCTCTAGCAGCGTTTTTTCTTTGCCATCAGGTTAACACAGTGACTCAGCAGCTGTCTATTGGCTGTTACCACCAACTTCTGTGGTAAAGGCACAGGCCATTGTGGTCCCAAGGCAGTTCAGGGAAAGGCTAAGTTAGAATTTAGAAACTTGTGCTTCCAGGCTAGCCTCTCCCTGCCTCCTTTTACCACCTGTCCAGGCAGGTAGCCTCCACCCACAAACACACACAAGTTTATACCAGTCTTCAGTCTCCCTAGGATTTTTTCAGTTTGTGTCAGTTCTACAAAACCAAATTCTGTATAATTTCTCTAGGGTCAGTTGAGAAAGGAAGCCAGAAGTTTGCACATTCAGGTCTAGACAGGAACTGTTGATTTTTAAAAAAATATTTCTATTATATTTTCAATTTCTAATAACCTTGTGTTTTCTCAGTTTTCCTTTATTTAGCATCTTATTCCTATTTAATGGATATCAGATCTGTTATTGCTCTGACGTTATTCATTATATTTCTTTGACATTTTCTTTTCTTCTTTGCATTGTTTCCTCACAGATACTTTGTCCTCTTTTGGGCTCTTTTTCATGTTAAAAACTTTCCTCAAATGTCTGATAGTGTGGCTTACTGCTCATTTTTAATTGGGAGATACTACAAAGATGATTGGAACCTCTGTGTAGTGGGGAGTGGGTCTCATTTACTTTAGGATGATCTGGTTGGATTAATTTACTGAGGACTGCCCACTTTTGGTAACTGTTGATCTTTTCTCTTGTGCATGATTTTCCCATGAAAGGAGACCTTCACTGCTTCTCCTGGTGAGGGAGTTAGGAGCCTATTATCAGTACAGCAAGAGTCTCATCATTACAGTATTGTGAACTGACACCAGTTCTCTGATACCAGCTGGGTGTCTTATGCTTCAGTTCAATTCTGAAACTACCTACCTGGAGTTAACATCAGATCCCACAAGTTAAAGGGCAAAGGTACCCAACAACACAGCCCTTAGTTCAGACACAAGCTGCAAGTGGGATCTCCAGGCTATGCACACTTCTGCCTATCCAACTATAAATTCAGGGCTTCACACAACCCCTCAGGTTTGATAATTCATTAGAACAACTCACAGAACTCCTGAAAGCACTGTACTTATGATTCCCATTTTATGTAAAGGAATATAATGAATAGTTAGATGAAGAGGTACACAGGGCAAGGTCTAGGAGGGTCTCAAGCACAGGAGATTCTGTCCTCGTGGAGTCAGGATGTGCCACCTTCCTGGTACGTAGATAGGTTCATCAACCAGGAAGCTTCCCCCAGTCCTTGCCCTGAGTTTTTCACTGGAGTTTCGTTACGTAGGTAGGAGTGACCAACCAGCATCTCCCTTGAAACTAAGGGCCCCCTGTGAATCACCTCGTTAGCATAAACTCAGGTATGATCAAAAGGAGCTTGTTGTAAATAACAAAAACAGTCCTGTGAGGAATTCCAATGGTTTTTGAAGCTGTATGCCAGGAACAGGGAACAAAAACTAGATATATTCGTTATTATATCACAAGTATGTATATTTTCTGTTAATCCTTTGTTCTCCATTCAGTACCCATGCCCACAGCTATGCCTGATATTCCTGAGTCCAGATTCCCTCTGGTTCCATTTTTCTAAACTTCTAGGTTTCTGTAAAAATGAAAAAATATAATCATTCTTCTCTGTGGGATGGGGGGGGGGGGTCTTGGAGGTCTTACTACTAATACAGGCTTTGAACTCATCCTTCGGTTTTCACCATTCTCTGTGCCCCCCACTGTTAGAAGTGCCTGATACCTCCAATTCCTGTGCAGTTGTAGGGATCTGCACTGTGAATCAGAGCTGTGAAATTCACCCACTGTAGGCTCACTTTGACTTTCTCTGGTCTGCAGTCACTTACCATTCATCCGTTGGCTTTCCAGCTTGCAAGTTTTGTTATTGCTGTCTCACCTCCAGTATCCTTTGTCCTAGCAGGATTTTCCTGTCCCCTTGTTAAGCTTTTACTGTGATTTTCCTGTAGATTCATGAATAAGTAGTGGTAAACTCATGTACAGTCTGCCATTTTTAACAGAAATTATGTCCCTTTTTAATTAAAAGTACACTTGACCCTCATTACTTAGAGATTCCATATTTACAAATTTACCTACTCACTAAAATTTATTTGTCAACCCAAAATCAATACTTGTAGCACTTTCATGGTCATTGGCAGACATATGCAGAGTGGGGAAAAATGTTGACATGGAGTTCCTCTCTTCTTCTCAGAGTACGTTCCATTTTATTCTCTTCTTTCTCACACTCAAGCTGCCTCTCCTCTTAGTCACTGCCATGACTTGAAGATTCCATTCCTCTCTCTCCTGAGGTCAGCATCACAGAATTCCAAGGCAAACTATTTTCAGTGTATCTCCAACACATATCAGGCTCTATCCACAGAAGAGATTTACCTGTCTATCATTCTCACCAGTTTCATTCAGCACCTTAGACTTGGTGCAGGCTGTCCCCTGATGTGAATTTGCCAACGATACACCCTTTGCAGAGAGTCGCTGATCCTCCCTCCATTTATAAGTTTCAACACATTTATTCCTCAGTAGTCCTTTGATGTAGGTCTGAGAATCATCCACAAATTATAAAACATACAATACGATGCTGTGCATGTCTGCTTATATAAATGTATGTATACTTAGAATTACTGTATAGCAATGTATATGTGGAGGATGGCCCTGAACAGTGTGTTCACCAAAGTTTCAGGTGATTCTGATCCATAGCAAAATTTCAGGATTATAGAAATCATTTATTCCCTAGTCACCATCTTCAACTTCTTCCTCTGTTGCCTCTCCTTAAAGTCTGTGCTTTTCCTATCAGTTTTAGAAATTGTTTAGCCCTATTTGAGAACTGTCTAAGTGTTTACTTTCCCAGATATTATTTTCAGCTTAATCTTCCCATTTCTTTTTTAGAAGTTTAACCTCTCCCAGAATAAGAAAAATGAACATATGCCTTTATGTTTTCTTTCAGATCTGGAATCAGTGTGTGAGACCAAGATATTATCTCTAAAGAAGAGACGTTTTAGTCAAGTAATATTTACCTATGAAGACATGCCCACTTTTATTCATCCCACATTTCTTATTCCACATCAAAAAACTATTAATGAAAAGAAACCCTATGAATGTAAGATATGCGGAAAGGCCTTTAATCAAAACTCACACTTTATTCAACATCAGAGAATTCATTCTGCTGAAAAACTCTATGAATGTAAGGAGTGTGGGAAATCCTTTAGTCGTGGCTCACTTGTTACTCGACATCAGAGGATTCACACTGGTGAAAAACCTTATGAATGTAAGGAATGTGGCAAGGCTTTTAGTTGTAGTTCTTATTTTTCTCAACATCAGAGGATTCACACTGGTGAGAAGCCCTATGAATGTAAGGAATGTGGAAAAGCTTTTAATTACTGCTCAAACCTTAATGATCATCAGAGAATTCACACTGGTGAGAAACCCTATGAATGTAAAGTATGTGGAAAAGCCTTTACTAAGAGTTCACAACTTTTTCCACATCTGAGAATTCATACTGGCGAGAAACCTTATGAATGTAAAGAATGCGGAAAAGCCTTTACTCAACACTCAAGGCTTATACAACATCAGAGAATGCATACTGGTGAGAAACCTTATGAATGTAAGGAGTGTGGGAAGGCCTTTAGTAGTGCCTCAACACTTACTAACCATCACAGAATTCATGCTGGCAAGAAACTCTATGAATGTAAAGAGTGTGGAAAGGCCTTTATTCAGAGCTCAGAACTTATTCAACATCAGAGAATCCATACGGATGAAAAACCATATGAATGTAATGAATGTGGGAAGGCCTTTAATAAAGGCTCAAATCTTACTAGACATCAAAGAATTCACACTGGTGAGAAACCCTATGACTGTAAGGAATGTGGAAAGGCCTTTGGTAGTCGCTCTGACCTCCTTCGCCATGAAGGAATTCATACTGGATGAATGATAGGCCCGTTTTTATAACCTTTGTAATAATATTTTAAAAATCAAGTAATGTAAAAAACAAACCCACAAAACCCCAGATAATGCATGATTGAAGGTTTCCTGTGTACTAGATTTCTAAGGCTACCATAACAAAGTACCAAGTACCACAAAACTGGGTACAGAAATTTATTCTCTCACAGTTTTGGAGCCTTGAGATCCGAAATCAAAGTTGTTGGTAGGTTCCTTCTGAGGACTCTGAGGGAGAATCTGTTCCATGCTCTTCCACTAGCATCTGGTAACAGCCAGCAATCTTTGACATTCCTTGGCTTGTAGCTGTATCACTCCAGTCTCTGCCTCCGTCTTCACAGTGCATCTCCCTGGGTGTCTCTGTGTCTCCTCTCCTCTTCTTATATGGACACCAGTCATGCTAGATTAGCACTCACCCAAGTGAACTTACCTTAACTTGATTACATCTGCAAAGACCTTATTTCCGTGTAAGATCACATTGACAGGTACCAGTGGTTAGGACTTCAACATAGTTCAACCCATAACACTCTAGCATTGTTTTTCCTAATGCATTTACAATTTTTATGTAACTTGTTAATCACATGTATTTTAAATTGTGAATTCAGGGTCTAAATTAAACCTCCCTCCCAAAAAGAAAGATTCTGTCTCACAACTACTTATTCAATAATTCCTTTGTTGCCAATTGTTTTCTTCTCCTTCTTGGTTACATATTTGTGTTTATATTAGCTTATGTTTTATGGCCATCTTTTCTAGTGCTGTGGCCTACAGATCTGTGTTTCCACCAATACTACACTGGAAGTCGTGTTACACAGGCTGTCTTTTAATTCCTGGCAGAATTGTAACTTTGTTTTTGAAGGCAGCTCTTTTTTCCTTTTGTAAACTCATATTTTCTTTTTGTAAAAAAAAACCATAGAGGACAGAAAGAAAAAAATAAAGATTATTTGTAAGCCTACCAGAGATGACTGCTTTCAAATTACTACAGCATATCCTTCCAGATTTTATTTAGTGTAACCATAATCATGACATGCATGCTGTACCATAACCTGCTTTTATCATTGCTACTGTTTCAGTAAGTACACGTTTATTTGTCATTCTTTTTAATAGGGTCATAATAATCTTTTCTGTGGTTATCATTTCGCTAAATACTGACAATTATTATGGTGCCCATTGAAACTTTGCAGTTATAAAAGTTGCCTTCCAGGTTCAACTTTAGTGCTTTATTTCTTTGTTCTTCTCTGCAAACTTTACATTTCAGTACTGAAATAACTGATGAAGATTTCCTCCCTGTAAAATACTGCCAATAGCTCTAATCCCCTCATTTGAATCACTGTCAGTTTATTTGTCTTTCCAGACCTTTTTTAAAAACTATTTTTACTTACATTCATGTGCACACACAACCAAATATGTAAATACTTGTAGAAAAAATTAGTGCTGCTTTTTAAATGTTTTAAATACATATACTACTGTGTGTACTGGATTGCTACAAGGATTAAATGAGTTAAGAAATATACAGTGGTTGGGACTGTTACTAACATATATTAACTAGCTAATGTTATCCAATATTAGCATCAGTATCTTCATATTATTATTTGTGGAAGGGACTTTAACCATGTTATACACCTTAGCTGACATTAAAGAATTCATAATGAAAAAGACCAGCAGGTGTAATGTTTGTAGAAAAGCTTCTCACCGAAAATTATTCCTTATTCCTCATGGAGTTTAAAAACAAGCAAATAAAACCCTAAGAAATAAGTCAAGAAAGAAAAAGAATGGGTTAATAAGCCTACATTCACACCTCATATTTCACGCTGCACAATAATTTCATACCCATCAAAAAACCTATTTACAGGGGCTGGCCCCGTGGCCGAGTGGTTAAGTTCACGTGCTCTGCTGCAGGTGGCCCACTGTTTCGTTGGTTCGAATCCTGGGCGCAGACATGGCACTGCTCATCAAACCACGCTGAGGCAGCGTCCCACATGCCACAACTAGAAAGAGCCACAATGAAGAATATACAACTATGTACGGGGGGTCTTTGGGGAGAAAAAGGAAAAAAATAAAATCTTGGGAAAAAAAAACCCTGTTTACATATCGAGAATAGTTGAAAACACATTTGTCAAAAAAGCAGGGAAAGATATACAATATTAACTCAATAATCACTGACAAAGTAGAACATGATGTAGGTCACATTCTTTTCCAGAATGGGAAAAAATTAAAATGATAGCCAACAAATATCAGAATATTGATAATACACCTCCACATAACATGAGTCAAGAAGGTAGTCAATCCCTGAATTATGTTTAAATGAATGAAAATGAGCACATTAGGTAGAAAAACTTGAGGGTTGGCAAGGAGCCAAATCTGTATTCAGATAAAAATGTACAGTCCAATAGGCATGCTGGTATTTAAACACTAAGAGATTATTAAGAAATGAACAAAATGTACAAGACAGAAAGCTCGAAGAATGACAGCAAACTAAATCCAAAATCAGAAGAAAAGTTATCAGTAAAAATAAAGGCAAAAATAGTTCAAGGAAAAAATACATACAGATACAAACACTGGTAATTCTGACGGGGAAAAATAGAAGACAGATGAAGACATGAATGATAGATGGACATGATTATGTTTAAAGAGATTAACATTTTTACTAATATCTGGAAATCTAGATGAAGTATGTGATAGTTGTAGGAAAATAGAATGTCAGAATTGAGCAATGTAAACCCTTAATAGTCCAAAACAATAAATGAAGAAAAAAATGTTTTCGTGTAAATAGCGCCACTTAAAGCAATCACCAGGCTAGATCATTTTATGGGCAAAATCTATTAAATATTCAAGGAACTTTCAAATCAAATGCGATAACAAGCTTACCATCTGTTTCTATGAATTTTTCGTAATCCTGATGTCAAAATAACTAGTTCACAAAATTATAATTTAGTGTCCTTTAGTACTGAGTCTGTACAAATGAAAATTTATTCTAGCAGTCTATTTAAAAAAATAGATACTCATCACAATCTGAACCCATCACCTGAACTAAGAAATCAAATGCTTTTGACAAAACCTTACCATCAAACTCTAAATCAGGGGTCAGCAAACTAATCCAGACCACTGCCTATTTTTGTACGGCCTGCAAGCTAAGTATTGTTTTTAGATTTTTAAATGGTTCAAATAAGATGAAAAATAATCTATCGTAATGTAAAATTATATGAAATTCAAATTTCAGTGTTTGTTAGTAAAAATGAGACAGAGCAACACATTCACTTACATGTTGTCTTTGGCTGCTTTCACACTACAACAGAGTTGAGTACCTACAACAGAAACTGAGGGTCTGCAAAGCCTATGATATTTACCATCTAGCCTGTTACAGAAAAAGTTTGTCAACCCCTGCTCTAGTCACTTTCTGAAACACAGAAGTTAAATAGATTTTGTTAACACAGTGTTCTGTGTTATCCAAACTCAGAAAACAGATTTGGATAGCGAGGGGTTCTTGAAATGCAGCAAAAGATAATTCATGTGAGAATTCTGGAGTTAATATAACTAAACCCCATTAAAGGGGCTGGCCCGTGGATGAGTGGTTAAGTTCACGTGCTCCGCTTTGGCGGCCCAGAGTTTTGCTGGTTCAGATCCTGGGCGTGGACATGGCATGGCTCGTCAGGCCACACTGAGGCAGCATCCCACATGCCACTAGAAGGGCCCACAACTAAAATATACAACTATGTACTGGGGGGATTTGGGGATAAAAAGAAAAAAAAAAAAAGGATTGGCAACAGTTGTTAGCTCAGGTGCAAATCTTAAAAATAAAATAAGAAATTTATAATTTTTAAGAAAAAAGAGAATGAAAAAGTATAAAATATGCAAGAAAAAATGAGTAATGGAAGCAGAGGGATGGAAATTTTTAGGAAGAATCAAGAAATGCTAGAAATCAAAAATATTTTAACAGAAATAATGAGCTCATTAGTAGACTGAGTACTAGGCTGAGAAAAGAATTGCTCAGCTTGATGATACATCAGTAGAAACTTCCAAAACTGTAAATCAAAGGGGAAAAAGACTGAAAAATAACAGTGCAGAATATCTGAGAACTGTGGGACAACTACAAAGGGTGTATATGTGCATAATGGGAATACAAGGAGGAGAAAAAGAAAGCAATAGGTGAAATATTTAAAATAATGACCCAGAACTTTCCCAAGTTAATGTCAAACAAACGAAAAAACCCACAGGTCCAGGAAGCTCTGAGAACATCAAGCAGGATAAATGCCAAAACTACATCTAGGCATGTATTCAAACTGCAGAAAATCAAAGAGAAAGAAAAAGTCTTGAAAGCAGCCAGAGGAAGAAACACCGTATGTATAAAAGAGCAAGGATAAGAATTACATCTGACTTTCCAGAAACCACGCAAGCAAGAAAAGAATAGAGTAAAATATTTAAAGTATGAGAGGGGGAAAAAAACCACCAACCAAGAATTCTGTACCCTGTGAAATTATCCTTCAAAACTGAAGATGTAAAGACTTTCTCAGACAAACAAAAATTGAGGGAATTTGTTGCCAGTAGACCTGAATTGCAAGAAATGTTGAAAGAAGTTCTTCAAAAAGAAACAAAATGATATAGGTCAAAAACTCAGATCCACTTAAAAATGGAGGAGCATTAGAGAAAGAATAAATGAAGGAAAAATAAAAACTTTTAATTTTCTTATAATTAATCTAACAGATAAGTTTGTTCAAAAATAATAATAGCAACAATGTATTGAATGATTATAGCTTATGTATGAGTGACAACAATAATACAAGGGACAGGAGTGAGTAATTAGGAATATTTTGTTACTATAAAGTACCTGGACTACATGTGCAGTGCTATAGTGTTATTTGAAAGTGGACTAGGATTAGCTGCAAATGTATCCTGCAAACTCTCAGGCAACGACTAAAAAAATGTTTTCTAAAAAAGTATAGATATGATAAGAAAGAAGAAAAAAGAAACCATATAAAATGCTCAATTAAAATCACAGAAGAAGAAAAAGAGAAAACAAAAATAGAAACAAAGGCATTAAATAGAAAACAGTAACAAACATGGATATTAATCCAACTATATCGATAATCACCTTAAATATCAAAGATAGCATCAAAGGTAAGAGAGATAAGCCATGCTAACATCAATCAAAAGAAAGCTGGAGTAGCTATATTAATTTCAGAGGGAGCAGACTTCAGATCAAGAAAAATTATCAGGGATAAGGAAGGCCATTGAATAATGATAAAGGGGTAAATTTTCAAAGAAGTAACAACAATCTTTAATTTATATGCACCTAACAATGGACTATCCAAATATATGAGGCAAAAATTTTTAGAACTGCAAGGAGAAATAAATGAATCCACTATCATATGTAGATTCCTTCAACGCTCTTCTTTCAATAATGGAAAATGATTAAGGACAAAGTTGAACTCTAGACCTATCAATCAACTGCATATAGTTGATATCTACAGACTACTTCATCCAACAACAGTAGAACACACATTTTTCTCAAGTTTACAAGGAACATTCACTAAGATAGACACAACAAGCATCTGTGGCCTTAAAACACACCTTAACAAAATTACAAGGACAGAAATCATACAAGGTGTGCTCTGACACAATAGAATTGAACTAAAACTCAACAACAGAAGGATAGCTGAAAAATAGCCCCAAATACCTGAAGATTAAACAACACACTTCTAAACATCATACAAGTCAAAAAAAATCTTAGAAATTTTAAAACACTAAATGAAAATGAAAATACAACTTATCAAAATTTGTGAGATGGAGGAAAAGCAGTTCTTAGAGGGAAATTGACAGCATCAAACTTACACACACAGTCATGCATTGCTTAACAACAGGGGTACATTCTGAGAAAAGCATCGTTAGCAATTTCATCATGGTGCAAAGATCAGAGAGTGTACTTACACAAACTCAGATGGTATAATCTACTACACATCTAGGCTATATGGTACTAATCTTATGGGACCACCAATGTATATGCAACATCCTTATGTGGTGCATGACTGTATTAGAAAAGAAGAAAGATCTAAAATCAATAATCTAAGCTTCCACCTTAGGAAACTAGAAAAAGAAGAACAAATTAAACCCAAAGTAAGTAGAAAAAAAGAAATAACAAAAATTTGGGGTGGGCCCCACAGACGAGTGGTTAAGTTCATGGACTCCACTTCAGCGGCCCAAGGTTTCACCTGTTTGGATCCTGAGTGTGGGCCTAACACCGCTCATCAAGCCATGCTGAGGTGGCATCCCACATAGCAGAACCAGAAGGACCTACAACTAGAATATACAAGTATGTACTGGGGGACTTTGAGGAGAAGAAGGAAAAACAAAGAGATTGGCAACAGATGTTAGCTCAGGTGCCAACCTGTAAAAAAAATTAAAGCAGAAATCAATGAAATTGAAAAAAGGAAATCAACAGAGAAAATCAAGGAAACCAAATGCTGATTCTCTGAAAAGATCAATATAATTGATAAGCCTTGTAGCCAGGCTCA